ATGGACTGCCAAGATGTTGTCCCGGTAGTACTGGCCTGTAACACGCCCTGCAACAACATGTAAAGCCGTTCTTCCAGCAACAGTGATGCCTCCCCACACCATAACAGAACCACCCCCAAATCGATCATGTCTGATGACGTTAACGTCTTGGAAGCGCTGGTTTCGACGACGCCACACCCTCCTACGTCTGTCCAAAAAATCAACAGTGAACCTTGACTCATCTGAAAACATCACATTGCTCCAGCGTCGATTATCCCAGTGTTGACGATCCCTACACCAACGACGTCTTGCCTGAATGTGATGATCTCTCAAACAAGGGATCACGCGAGGACGTCGGGCGCGAAGGTGACCCCTATGCAGTCGATTCCGAATCGTCTGGCCACTCACTCTCACACCAGTGTCTGTTTGAAGACGAGCGCTGATCTGATTTGCTGTGATGACACGATTTCTCAAGGCCAAGGTACGAATAAATCGATCCTGGGCTTGAGTTGTCGCCCTTGGTCGACCTGAGCGTGGTCTGTCCTGTACAGATTGTGTATCACGGTATCTGGACCATAGCCTGCTTATGACAGACTGAGAAACATTAATCGTCCGCGCCACAACCGCCTGTGTTGTGCCGATCTGTAGCATGCCAAGGGCACGTAACCTTTCATTTTGGGTAAGCCGACGCATATCAAAATTTGTTTTCTGGTCACTAAAACAATTAAACTGATGTTTCCACCCTGGAATTCAATGCCACAATGACTGTAACATTCAAAGTCAGAGTCGTGCAAATCTTGGGTTGGACCCCCATGATGATCCCAAGCATCACCTGCATTCCATGCGGTAGCTATTGGTGCGTTTGGGCGTCACATGTAACTGGAAATGTTTCTTCTGTTAGGTTCTATAGTGACTTTTTTCGTAGTCATTTGCATATTTTAGTATTATGCCCCCAAAATCAAATATCCCCTACTTTTTTTGAATAGTATATATTAGATTGCCCTTTTGAGAAAAAGACCTCTAAACATGTTCGTACAGCGGCGCTAGTCTTCTTTTATATAGAATTCCAACCGCCATGGGATCTTTTACTGTCACACCAATGTGTACACGGAACTTCGGAATCGCGTTCTTGTCAGCTACTCAAATATGTAACTGGTTCAAAAATTGATTGAATATTCAATGAAATATCGCCAATTTTCTAGTTTCGTGCACGTTAAAAATTTGACGACACTAATAAAAACGTAATAATAATTACAGATAGAGTCCATTCTCAAACAACGTCATGCCTTTTATCATAGGTGCAATATTCGATACTACTGTACGATACTAATGCTCCCGCTTATCAAATTGTACTTTCTTATAAACAGCGTGAGCCGTCGATTTCTGTCCAGATGATTACCGGTATAAGATAATTTTGACAAAGAAGCTACAATATTAATTCAAAGACTTATTATTAGACACAGCAATCAACTATTTCTGTTACAGGGTCACTAAACCCATATTTTGGATAGAAGAAAACACTCATAGTTGAAATAATTTCAGTTCAAATATCATCACTGATAAAAGCACGCTTGAATAGACTCTATACGTTGACAAAACGTACAGATTGTATCCCCCCTTAACAATGAAAGCTGCCGTGTTCAATTTTCGATCCCTTTGTACAATGGTTTTATATATAACACTACTGATAGGCCTCTCTGTAGAAGAAGTTCCAAAAAAGAATTATGTTGACTTTTCGAGAAATAGGCCTCTAAAAATGCTCCAAATCGTAAAAATACGACGTTTTCGATTTTAGATCTCTTTTTTCGGCTACCCTGACATTTCAAAAAATGATACAGTGGTTTCACACAACAGAGTACCCATTTGTCTCTCGATTGAGAACATTTTTTAAAAATCGTTGGGGGACTTTCCGAGAAACATGCGTCCAAAATTGCTCGAAATCGTAAAAAAACGTCACATAACTTTTTAAATTTTTGATAGAAACATGCCGCTTTAGTACCATCCGATAGACAATTCAATTGGCTATTAAACGATATAAAACTTTAACTAATCGACAAGAACACAATTGATACATCGCATTTTCCGCACAGACACCCATTTTTCACATTATTGTCAAAGTTTGGATACCTTTCTTGACTACTTCCGGTGATTAGGGGATTTTCATTTATAGTTCATGGACTGGTCTGGTCCTTCGACTTCATATTCCTGAAGTTTCAGAAAAATAGTTGGAGCCGTTTTAAAAAAATAAGAACTCTACGATTTGACCAAAATGCGAAAAAAAGTGAAAAATCAAAGTCAACATTTCAGAACAAAACTTACATTGTTGGAATCGGATCGATGTCAGCTATCCAAAAATATAATTGAAATTAAAAATTTCCCAAAAATAAAAATTTTAGAAAATTTAGTAATTTTAGAAAATTTAGAAAATTTTAGAAAATTTAGAAAATTTTAGAAAATTTAGAAAATTTTAGAAAATTTAGAAAATTTTCCATTTTTCACCAAAAAAATTAGAGCGACAAAGTTTTTAATTTCCACAGTTTAGAACTGCTATCTGCTCAGAAATGTCTCCAGCTATCCAAAAATGTAAATATCTGAAGAATCCATTGAGAATTAAAAGAATAATGGCCGATTTTCAATTTTCGTGCACGTTAAAGATTTGACGCATTTCCGCTATGCGCACAAATTTCGTTTTACATTTAAGCACTAACTACCACCCACTTTCACAAGAGAAAATCAAACTTCAGACCTCTATCTCTTATAGTTGCTGAGAGATAGGCAAAACGGAAAAAAAAATAATATTAATCTTAGTAATAACAATATTCTTTCACCGAAGGTGAAAGCCTAATAATATTAATCTTAGTAATAACAATAGTCTTTCACCGAAGGTGAAAGCCTAATAATATTAATCTTAGTAATAACAATAGCCTTTCACCGAAGGTGAAAGCCTAATAATGAGGATACTGATTACATTGGTAATGTACTCGATATGGAAGATAATAGCCGTTAAAATTGTGATGTTCTTGATATGGGGGATAATAGCCGTCAAAGTTTTGACGGAAAGGCTGCTCACGAGAATGATTTAGATATTGTTAATTTTCTTAATACTGTGGTAATATGGAGGAGGGTTCTAGCCGTCCCAATTTTGATTTAAAATTTAATATATACTCTGATATACGTGACAGGACACAGGCTCAAAGGCACAAACCAATTCACGAAATTCAAACCCAACTGTCATTATGGTGTAACGGTGATATATTTGAATTTTTTTTTTATAGTCGGATAAAAATTGTGACCTGCATAGGTTCCACAAGCTCAAACACTTCTTTTTTGTTCAATCCGGGGCTATAATCCAGGAAGTTACGGTCCGATATGCGCCAATATTGCAAGGAATCGAGATCTTTGGGTTATAAATACACATGTTCAGTTTCATCAATTGGGCTAATAAGGTGTGAAAATGTGGGCGTATAGAAACGTATCATCGATCTAGTGCCAAACGTACTATTAAACGGATAAGTGACATATAACGGACGGATTTAAGTGGAATTCTTTATGTAGACAAACACGTGAAATCAACATTCGGTCATGTGACATTTCGGTAACTATGAGGTTTTAAAGTAATTTCATTTTCTGTAATTTAATTTGTTCAGAGAATAAATTATCCCAAAATACATGTTCATTTTTCAGATACGTGTCCATTATTGGTATTTTCTTAAACAATCGTCTATTATTTATAAAACTGTCCATTATTAGAAAAGCGTACATTCTCCTATATAATGGTTAAAAACATCAAAGGGTGACGTCATATCTATGTTTTAAGAACATGGCTTTTAGCCATATTCCATCAACAGTATTACATATGTGGACACAAGTTGGATTTGTTACCACAGCAACATTTTTAGGGGGTGGGCTTACAAGTTTCACTATAGTTCTTTACAGTTACCTCCAATGCATTCAATTTGCAGCTTGTCTTCTTGTATACTGGTCAATGTTTCTAGAAATAAATGCTTTTCATCTCAGACTTTCCAAGAAATAGGGAAATATTGGTATTTTGAGGCATACAAAGTGCCAAAAATGGACCATTTTGTAGAAAAAGGTAAAAGAAAGTCAATTTTTAAAAAATATTCTAGAACAAAAGGCCCATGGACCTGAGCTGCAATCCGGTATACAAAACAGTACATAACTTTAAAGGGTCACCATTTCTGAAGTAATTATTTTTTTTGTGATTCTGTATTATAATAATGTTGCAAAAATAAATGTGAAGCTATAAAGAAAAGAATTTTGATGATATATGAACTTATAAAACCATATAGGAGGCAGACCACCATTATATTTCACCATCTCGGTACAGACAAATTGTAGTTCGTCTATTTATAGCAATTCTCTCTGTGTCTCTTTTCTCCCCTTTTGCATGCCGAATTTTGTTGATTTTTTGGTCTAGAATGGATGAAGAGGGTTTGAATTAACATTTTCTGCCAGGTTTTGGTAAATATTCATGATTTTGAGGCGGGAGAATAATGGGTTTATCAGGTTGGCCACGGTGACATAGTACGGCAACTAGTTACATGTTTTTAGTATGCTTCTTCAAGTTTCTGTATCTCAAAATTTTGATGGTCAGCCTCATACAAATTTTAGTGCAAATACATGACCATTTGTTCCTCTGTCCGTAGTGAAAAGCATTCAGCCCAACGAAAATTTGGGGACAAGTTGGAGGTGGACAAAGAGGCCAGAATTAACATTGAAGTCAATGGGGAAATTAATGGTGGTCTGCATCCTAATATATTTATGTGGATTTGTCTCCCTTTCATTAATAATATTTTGGTGAGCCAGGTTTTTTTTATCTGCAAAAAGCCTTGGTGCATACTATTATAATTCTTTATCTCCCGTGCTCGGGAGCCATGCTATTTTGTATCATGTTATATTTTATTTTTTGACTGTCATTTGGGGTTTCTCTCTTTGTTTGACCTGCACCATGCCCCTTGTGGACCCTTGATTGGAAATAAAGTTATTATTATTATTATAATTGAAAACGTGTGGAGTCTTGTAAACAAACGAACTGCGCGGAGATTTGTTACTATTTTTGATAGCTGAGCGTTCAAGCATGTCGGACGAAGACAACGAGTTGAGAGATCTTGTGATGCAAACCTTGGAAGTTAACGGTACGTTAGGGAAGATAAAGGTAATAATTTTATGTTTATGTTGTAATAGTTTAGGTCCATAGTTTATTCACAACTACAGTGTGCAAGCATGCCAATGAAAGTTAAGAGCAAGGTAAATGGACACAATCTTGTCACCACATACGTGTCTGTGCGTGTGGCCCGTTCCTCAAACTCACAAGCTGAAACTTTAGAATTAGGCTATTCTTTTGGTATCTATGAGATGATACGGAAAGATAAAAATAATGGTGGAAAATTAAATATAACTAGACCCGCAAGCAGCACTGAACCGGCTTTCAAGAATCAGACAGGAAGAGACTCATACAATAGCCCATTCATCGAGCTACCAAACGATACTTTAGTTGTATTGATCCGGTGACACCCGACGGTGAAATCACGATTTTCGCAAGAGTACCAGTACCACTTTTTTACTGTTAATTTCTCAAAATATAGGATATTCTTTCCACTACTTCCGGTTTACAGATCATTGTCGGGATAGATTTATCAAGTGGTATGGGAACTTAACTTCCTGTACTAGAAGTTTCAGAAAGATCCATTGAACACTTTTTAAAAGAAAGGAAAATTAGAGGGCCATTATGAGATATTTAACGAATTAGTAAATAAGTGGTAGTCTGTCATTTTGTTTAGGACTACTTACCTCCCTCATACCATTAAAAGTTTCTTAGTAATATAACAATTTTTCGACTTTTTTCAAAGATTGTGGCCCTTTTTGGACCATTTATACTAGGGTGCCAGTGAAGTCGTCCACACCCATTAGTGGAGTCGTCCACAAGGCATTGGTGATGTCGTCCACAACTAAGAATAAGACTCGTACACAATTTATTCGCACTCAACTATTGGTGATGTCGTCCACAACTAAGAATAAGACTCGTACACAATTTACTCGTACTCAACTATTGGTGATGTCGTCCACAACTAAGAATAAGACTCGTACACAATTGACTCGTACTCAAAACGCCGATGTTATTGTTTGTTTTGTTCACCGATGTTTTTGCAATGAAGTATACTTGTATTTTTTGTTAATTGGCGTTATGATTATAGCGATGTATTAACGATGTTTTTTTAGTAAAGTATATTCGCTTTTAATTGATGTTATGATTGTAACATTTTTGATTAGTATTAACGATGTTTTTGTAATAAAGTTTATTGTTTTGTTTGTTAAATGGCGTTATGATTTTAGCATTTTTGTATGTTTGATTAGTATTATCAATGTTTTTGTAATAAATCTAATGAATCTAAAACGGCAGAACTACAACAACGACTGGTTTCGGAGAATAAATTAAAGAGGCGACAAAGGAAGAAATTTGAGACAGTAGCAGGGAAAATCTTTAAAATTGTTATATTAATGAAATTGTTATATTAATGAACTTGTTTATGAATTTGTTATATTAATGATTATTTATTGAATTTGTTAAATTTGTTTATGAATATGTTATTTATTGAATAAAATGATTTACTTTGTTGTTTATTTGCCGGGAGAAAGGGTGACCACGCAGAAAAAGTATACTAATTAAAAATACATTATTTGTCCCGAAAGTAAACTAAGTCGTGTGGACGACTCCCCCAACGTATTACTATATCCAGAAATTATAGTTTTGCCGGGAGAAAGGGTGACCACGCAGAAAAACTATACAAATTAAAAATACATTATGTGTCCCGAAAGTCGTGTGTATAACTATATCCAGAAAGTATACTAAGTCATGTGGACGACTCCACCAACAAATGTGGACGACTCCACCAACGGGTGTGGACGACTTAACCAGATTTTTCGTGTGGACGACTTGACTGGCATTCTTTATACTATATTGAGGCTTTTAAATTTGGATTCACACCCTAGACCACCGTTAGGACTCTTAAGTAACAGAAGTTTAAGATAGGAAATAAGAGTAGTTTTCGAGATAAAAGTGTCTGAATAGGCTCCAAAAAGGAAAATACTAGATTTTCAGCGTCCCATAATATATTGCCTAAAAAGCGAATTTGTACCATTTGGATGCCAGGAGCCATAAATTAATTAAGAATGCTCTGTGTGTGAAATAGTTTTACTTGACGTACGCTTCCACCTAACTGATATCGCAAACAAGAAATTAGTGTTTATCTAATCTGGACTTATAGGACTCTTGAGTAACAGAAGTTTAAGAAAAGAAATCATAAAAGTAGTTTTGGAGTTAAAAGCGTCTGAATAGGCACTAAAAAGGAAAATACTATATTTTTGGCGTCCCATAATCTATTACCTAACCATTGCATTTGTATCATTTGGATGTCAAATAATAGCCCATTATTAAAGCTACCCACCGATACCTTATTATCCTGCGCCGAACGAAGTTAGGGAGGGATATTGAAACAGGATCTGTCCGTCCGTCCGATTTCGTTTCCGGAGCATATCTCATATCAACCTATTACAGTAGTTGTGCCTTTTGCTATTTAGGAATTTCTTGGATTTATATTTTTTGTGTTTCCATGGAAACAAATTTGACTTAGTTTTTGGCGTATAATTTTATTTCCGGAGCATATCTCATAAACCGTTCAAGATATCTTTTTGAAACTTTGTACAGACATCTACTCATTACAGTAGTTGTGCCTTTTGCTATTTAAGAATTTCTGGAATTTATATTTTTTGTGTTTCCATGGAAACAAATTTGGGGAAACAATTTTGTTTCCGGAGCATATCTCATAAACCGTTCAAGATATCTTTCTGAAACTTTGCACTCACATCAACCTATTACAGTAGTTGTGCCTTCTGCTTTTTAGGAACTTCTGGGATTTATATTTTTTTGTGTTTCCATGGAAACAAATTTGACTTAGTTTTTGGTGTATAATTTTGTTTCCGGAGCATATCTCATAAACCGTTCAAGATATCTTTTTGAAACTTTGTACAGACATCTTCTCATTACAGTAGTTGTGCCATTTGCTATTAAGGAATTTCTGGGATTTATATTTTTTGTGTTTCCATGGAAACAAATTTGACTTAGTTTTTGGTGTACAATTTTGTTTCCGGAGCATATAAACCGTTAAAGATATCTTTCTGAAACTTTGCACTCACACCAACCTATTACAGTAGTTGTGCCTTTTGCTATTTAGGAATTTCTGGGATTTATATTTTTTTGTGTTTCCATGGAAACAAATTTGACTTAGTTTTTGGTGTATAATTTTGTTTCCGGAGCATATCTCATAAACCGTTTAAGATATCTTTTTGAAACTTTGTACAGACATCTACTCATTATAGTAGTTGAGCCTTTTGCCATTTAGGAATTTCTGGGATTTATATTTTTTGTGTTTCCATGGAAACAATTTTGACTTAAGTTTTTAGTGTACAATTTGTTTCCGGAGCATATCTCATAAACCGTTCAAGATATCTTCTTGGCACTTATTTAGAATTTCTCAGATTTGATAATTTTATATGTTTCCATGGAAACACATTTGACTGTTCAAGATACCTTTAAAATAATTTTACCCATAATTTTATTTTCTGAAATCCAGCCTTCCGTCCTGATTTTATTTCTGGAGCATATTTTATTATCTGTTCGAGAAATCTTTTTGAAACTTTGTACAAACATTAACCTATTATAGTATTTTATTTTCTGATGTATAAGTTTATTGTTTAACATACAGCAGCTGATTGAGGTAGGCAAAGGTTGTTGTGCAAACCTTACAGGGTGTAGGGACCCTGCCTTGCCGAGCTACTGTGACCAGAGTATGAAATTCTGTGAATTGATATTCCATGTGTCGGAATATGAGATTTGTCTAAAGATTTAGACGCTTGGCGCAACTGATCGTGCAACCCCGACATGCTGAACTACTGTGCTCAGAATATATATATTCTTACTAGTTGAAACTTTGAACACACATCATCCTATGACAGTAGTTGTGCCTTTTGCTAATAAGAAATTTGTCGGATTTAATAATTTTTGCGTTGCCATGGAAAAAAATTATCTGTTGAATGATTTTTACTACACAATTGAATTATTTTTTGGTATATAATTATTATTCTAGAGCATATCCCAGAAAGGTTGTTGTGCAATCCTTACAGAGAGTAGCGACTTTGCCTTGCCGAGCTACTATGATCAGAGTATGAATCTTCTGACTAGTCCCATTGATATTCCAAGAAGTTGTTTTTCCTTATGCCTTCCAAACAAGTTCAAGGGCGCGGGATGGTGATGACTAGTCATCTTGTTTGTTTTGATTCGATGACATCTGTCGTAGTAATCCCTTTTTTTCGCTTTTCACTAGAGCGCCATTTTTTAATTTTTTCGACTACATGTACTTCCGGTTTTTGGATCATTGAGTTAAGTGGATACTTAACTTCCTGTGACAGAAGTGTCAGAAACATCCATTGAGTATTTTTTGGAAAAAAAGATAGATAAAAGAGTATTTTCAATAATTTGACGATTGTTCAACTTTTTTCAAAGATTGTGGCCATTTTTGGACCACCTTTATTATCTCAATGTTTTTATTTTTTGTGTGTTTGGGTGGGTTTTTTTTTGCCAATTTTTAAACTGAAGCCGATTTAATAAAAGTAAAATGTTATTTGTAAATAAACCTAAATTGCGTCTAGATATTCGAGATTTAAACAAACTCCAGAGTTACGCGCCGTTGTAGTGTACCAAATAGGAGAAATTACGTCTGGTTCTTTGAGTCTACTCATACCCACATGTTATTCAACATTTTGAAAGATGGCGGAACATTGCGAAGCTCAAGCTGATCGAACAGTAGTAATAAAGCCTAAAAACATTGCACGAGTCGTATATGGCTCTACTTTGGTTTTGATGAGAACGACGAAGCGCAAACGAAAGTTTTATATAGATTTTGCAAGCGTCGTGTAGCTGCAAAAGCCGGCAACACCAGCAACTTGTACGTTCATTTAAAAATACATCACCCAATTGAATATGCCGAAGTTCAAGTTCAAGAGAGGGGGGAGGGAATGACCTGTTTTTAACACTTATATAATCACATCTTTTATAATAAAACTAAAATATCGGGATATTGTGATATATCGCGATATATC